ACTATTTTCTCGTGACTGGAGTTTAGAAGTTTTAATGTGATAAAATAAATGAGAATCACAAGGTGTCACATGGAGTAATTTTCAATTTTGCTTTCGTTACTGCAAAAAGAAAATTAGCAAAAAAAAAAAAAAACATTTAGTTTTATATTTTCTTAAAAAAAAAAAAAAAAAAATGCTTTTTTTATAAAAATAATTATTTGTTCAAAAATACTTTTCTGAATAAAAAAAAAATTTTTAACTAAAAAAATTCTTTTGTCACAAATAGTTTTGGAATAAAAAATACTTTTTTTTATTATAAAATAATCTGTACCCAAAAATACTTTTCAAACGAAAAATACTTTTTAATAAATTTTTTTTTTTAATAGTTTCAGATAAAAAAAAACTTTTATTTGTCAAAAATAACTTTGGCTCAAAAATACTTTTTTTTAGTCAAAAGTAATTTTTGCCAAAAAAATACTTTACCGACTAAAAATACTTTTTAGTAAATATTTTTTTTAGTCAAAAAGTAATTTGTATCCAAAAATACTTTTCCAACAAAAAAAATATTTTCTTTTGTAAAAAATTTCGTTTATCAAAAATACTTTTTTTGATAAAAGTAATATTTATATTTAAAAAATTAATTTGGAAAAAAATACTTTTTTGGTCGAAAATTACTTTTCACTAAAAAAAAAAAAAATTCTCATAAACTTAAAAATACTTTTCATGGAAAAATTTCTTAATTAAAAAATTACGTTTCACGCATGAATAATTGTTTTTCATAAAAATTGTTTTCATTCACATGGTATGAAAAAAAAACAATTACGTCAAAAGAAAAGAAAATAATTTCCTTAATGTATTTGATAAATATTGCATCAAAAATTATCGAATTACTAAAAAAGTTTCCTTTATAGATAATATACCCACATAAATTGATACAAAAATCTCATATACATTGTTATAATTGTCATTCACAAATAACATTGTTTTTTGTATGTCAAGTATTAATTGAGAGAGAGAGAGAAAAGGAAAAAAACAAGGTGAAAAGTGTAAATTTACAATAACAAAGAATAATTGTTCTTAAATTTTTTTTATTGAATCGAAAAAATTTTTTTACAATTATTTTGAAAAATTAATTTTTTTGAAACAGAAAATTTTGGAATAGAAATAAAAATATTTTTTGAAAAAAGTATTTTTCTACCTAAAATAATAAAAAGTAACTTTTTGAAAAAAAAAACATTTTCTAATATTGAAATCAACTTAAAAAAGTATTTTGATGTAGAAAGTAATTTTTTTAAAAAGTATTTTTCTGCAGAAAGTCAGTTTTTAAAAAAATATTTTTCTGTAGAAAGTAATTTTTTGAAAAAGTATTTTTCAGTACAAAGTAATTTTTTGCAAAAAGTAATTTTTTTCAAAAAGTAATTTTTGATAAAAAAAATATTTTTTGGAAAAAGTATTTCTCTATAAAAAGTAATTTTTGTGAAAAAATATTTTTCTATAAAAAGTAATTTTTTGGAAAAAAGTATTTTTCTGCAGCAAGTCAGTTTTTAAAAAAATATTTTTCTGTAGAAAGTAATTTTTTGAAAAAGTATTTTTCAGTACAAAGTAATTTTTTGCAAAAAGTAATTTTTGATAAAAAAAATATTTTTTGGAAAAAGTATTTCTCTATAAAAAGTAATTTTTGTGAAAAAAATATTTTTCTATAAAAAGTAATTTTTTGGAAAAAAGTATTTTTTAATACAAAATAAATTTTTTTTAAAAACTATTTTTTTATGTCAAAATTAATTTTTTTTAAAAGTATTTTTCAGAAAAAAATTTTTTTTTGTGAAAAAAAATTATTTTTTCGTTAAAAGTAATTTTTTGTACAAAAGTAATTTTCTGTATGTAGAAAGTAATTTTTCTTTAAAAAAACTAATTTCTTCAGTAAAAAAAAGTATTTTTTAATAGCAACTATTTTTCAAAAAGAAAAATTAATTTTTAAAAATAATAATTTAATTTCATAAATAAATAATAATAATAATTTAAAAATGTTTTTAAATAAAAATTTGTAAAAAAAAAATTCTTATTCCTTCTACAATATGAAAATAATAAAATAGATCGTAAAAAATGTTTTAGTGTATTTAATTTATTGTGTATATTCTATTTAAAGGATTTTTAATATTCGAGGACAAAAATTTATTGGCATTTTTAAAATGTATAAATTTTTAATTATTAATGAGTGACAAATCAATTTTTGTTCAATGATTGGTTTGTTTAATTAAAAAAAAAATGAAATTAATGATTTTCAAAAATGCTAAACAGTATTTTATATATAAATATAAATCTGAGAATATAGAAAATGATAATGATGATTGGATCACGATAATTCTTCGACCTCCTTCTAATTAGAAATAATTAAATCTTATTAGGGAATAACAACTGACACGTGTTTCACGTCTAATTTTTTCTTTATTTTTATATATAAAATTGAAATGTGTCACTTTTATTTTCTCTAAAAAAAAGTATTCTTTTTTTAACAATTTATTTTTCAATTATTATTTTTTAAGTTGAAAAATTTTTTTTTTTGCAAAAACTTATTTTTTATTCCAAAAATTAATATTTCTACTCAGAAAAATGTATTCTACTTGTAAATATTTTCTACTTAAAATATCATTTCTTTTAAAAAAGTCTTTCTACCCAAAAATACTTTTCTACTCAAAAATGCTTTCTACACAAAATTACTTTTCTACTTAAAAATACTTTCTACTAAAAATTACTTTTTACTAAAAATACTTACTACTAAAAAATACTTTCTACTTTAAAATACCTTTCTACTTAAAAATACTTCTACTTTAAATGATCCTTTTAATAAAAAATACTTTCTGCTTTAAATTATCTTTCTACTTAAAAATACTCTCTACCTACAAATACTTTCTATATTCAATTACCTTTCTACCTTAAAATGCTCTCTACAAAAAATAATATTCAATTAAATTAGTTTTTGTTCCAAATTACTTTCTACTCATAGATGGTTTCTACTTAATAATATGTTTCTACCTATCAATACCTTTTACTTAAAAATTACTTTTCTACATAAAATAATTTTTATCTAAAATTACTTTCGATTCAAAAATAATTTTCTATTCAAAAATTACCTTTCTACTCAAAAAATATTTCTACTTAAAATACATTTTACTCTCTAAATCTGAATTAGTAAACATTTTTACTAATTCAGATTTAGAGAGTATTATTCAAATAATTTCTACTCAAAAATTATCTTTCTACTAAAAATAATTTTCACACTAAATACTTTCTACTTTAATTTACCAAGAGTAAAAATACTTTTCTACTCAAAAGTAACCATTCTACTCAAAATAGTTTCTATCTAAAATTACTTTTTATTGAAAAATACTTTCTACTTGAAATTACTTTTCTACTGTAAAACACTAATTTCTGCAAAAGAAAATCTTTCTACCTAAAATACGTTTTACTCCAAATTACTTTCTACTTAAAAATTACTTTTTTACTAAAAATAATTTCTACTTTAAATTACCAAAAGTAGAAATACTTTTTTACTTGAAAATTACCTTTCTACTAAAAATAAATTTCACTCTAAATACTTTCTACTTTAATTTACCACGAATAAAAATACTTTTCTATTTGAAAATTAACTTTCTCCTCAAAATAAATTTCTATCTAAAATTACTTTCTATTCGAAAATACTTTCTACTCGAAATTACTTTTCTACTGTAAAAAAATAATTTCTACAAAATAATATTTTCTTCGTAAAATACGTTTTATTACAAATTACATTCTACTAAAAAATTACCTTTCTATACTAAAAATAATTTCTACTTTAAATTAGAAAAAGTAGAAATACTTTTCTACCAAAAAATACATTTCTACTCAAAACATTTTCTATTTAAAATTACTTTCTATTTAAAAATACTTTTCCATTCAAAAATTACCATTCTACTCAAAAAGCTTTCTAATTAAAATACTTTTTATTATCCAAATAACTTCTAGTAAAAAATTACCTTTCTACTAAAAATAATTTTCACACTAAATACTTTCTACTTTAATTTACAGGAGTAAAAATACTTTTCTACTCAAAAATGACCTTTCTACTTAAAATAGTTTATACCTAAAATTACTCTCTACTACTATCTATTTAAAAATACTTTCTACTTGAAATTACTTTTCTATTGTAAAACACTAATTTCTGCAAAAGAAAATCTTTCTACCTAAAATACATTTTATTAAAAATTACTTTCTACTTAAAAATTACGTTTTTACTACAAAAAAATTTCTACTTTAAATTACCAAAAGTAAAAATACTTTTCTACTTGAAAATTACTTTTCTACTCAAAATAATTTTTTATCTAAAATTACTTTCTATACAAAAATACTTTCTAATATGTATATTTTGAATTTTGCATACAAAAAATTAATGTTTAATTGAAAAAAATTTTTTTTTTGTCAATGATAATATTAATTTATTGTCATCCCCCCTTTTTTTCCCCTCTCGACAATCAGAACCAAAACTTGAACGGCGCTCGCTATTTGCTTTAGTATAAATGTCAAGTCACACGCGAAATTCTCTCAGTGCCAAATGATAGTACGTCGAGATAAATCTACGCTCGGTTCATTCAATAACACTACTAACACGTGTGTGTGTGTGTAAATTTTTTTTTAAATACAAAAAAATTATTAACAAATAAAAAAAATTTTTTTAATTTACATTTTTTTAAATTTAATAAATAATAAACCAAATTTGTTAATTAGTTAATAATAATATAAAATTTAAAATTATATTTGTGTGTGTGTATAAAAACAGAAAAGAATTTTTGCAAAATAACAATAAATTTTTTTTTACAAATTAAAAACAAAGAAAAATCAAGGAAATAATATACAATAGCAAAAAAATAATAAAGTGAACGTAATACAATAAAAAAATATATATATTAAATACCAATAAAAAAATGAATAAAAAATATTTGAAAAATTAAAAAGAAAAACGAAATAAGAAGTTTTTAAGAAACAAGAATAAATAAATAAAAAAAAATTAAAAAAAAAATTAAATTAAAAAATTAAATTAAATAAAAAAACAATAAATAAAAAATAATAATTAAAAAAAAATAAATAATAGTAAATAAAAAAATTTAAATAAATAAAAATATCAATAATAAAAAAAAATATGAAAATCCCTTCTGTGAAAAATTGGTTCAAATAAAACAAAAAAAAAAATTAACAATTATTGTGTGAGTGTAAAGTGTGTGAATAGAAAAGAAAAAAACAATAAATTAGAAAATGAAGGAAAATAAAGAGAAAAAATTAAAAATAATTTTTGATAATTATTAAAATTTTGGTGAAAAAATTTTGAAAAAAAAAATAAAAAAAAAATACAAGAAAAAGAAAAATTTTAAAGAAGGGATAAGAATAGTTCACAAATATGGATTTTTCGATTGTACATTATTATGCAGGAACAATAATAACAGGAAAAATTGATCTCAGCTTTTCCACTGGATTATCTAATCATTTCCCAAGATTTGAATGCATCCTATTATTTAATCAAACTTCTTAATTATCGGCTAAATTGCAAACAAAAATTTATATTATCTCAAGGAAGTAAATGATTTATTATTCTCGAATGTTAAGGTAAGATTTTTTTCACTTTTTTTTTATTATGTGTGTGTCAAAAATTATTAATTTGAAAAAAAAATAATTTTTTTTTTTGTAAATTTTGTTTTATTTTTTATTTTTATTTTTGTTATAACAAATTTATTTATTTAATTATTTTTATTATTTATTTATTTTAATTATTTAAAAAAAAATTATTTATCAAACAAATTTATAAAATATTTTTAGTAAAATACTTTTTTACTAAAAAATACTTTTTGAGTAAAAATATTTTTCACACTCTCGAATTCAAAAATACTATTTATACAAAAATAATTATAAATCAAAAATATATTTTTGGCTCAAAAATACTAATTACTCAAAAATACTTTTAGTGAAAAATATTAATTACTGAAAAATACTTTTGGCTCAAAAATACTAATTACTTAATAAATATTTTTGACTCAAAAATACTTTTAGATAAATATACTAATGTCTCGAAAATACTTTTAGTTAAAAAATACTAATTACTCAAAAAATACTTTTGGATAAGGATAATATTTACGGCAAAAATACTAATTACTTAAAAATAATTTCAACTCAAAAGTACTAAATATTCAAAAATACTTTTGGCTAAAAATACTAATTACTCAAAATTACTTTCGAATCAAAAATAGTTTTTACTTAAAAAAAATACACAAAAATACTTTGAGTAAAAATACTTTTCCTTCAGCAAATACTGTTTATTTAAAAATACTTTTCTAAAAAAATACTTTTTAAAAAATATCTACTATTTGCTGCTGTTACGTCTCAAAAATAAGAAATAACTTTAGAAATAATATTTTATTTTATTTATGGCCGCTCGGTGATTCAGTAAATTCCTGTTTCATTTACAGAGCAGAAGGCTCTGAGCTAAGGGTACAGGAAAGAAAGAGAATAGAGATTTTTAATGTTAATGTTATACTTTATTTATGACAAACACTTAAGAGAAATTTTGTTCTTATGAGAGAGAGAATCTCGAAGCAACCAATCCAAGGAAAAGAGTTCAGCATTCCACTGAAACAAGGAATCCAAGGGTTACTTCAGAGTTACGAGAAATGTAGGAAAATTGGGGTGAAAATATAAAAACACTTACCTTTAAAATTAGAAGTAGATGTATGAATAGGACACTGCGGTGTCTTCTGTTTAGGCAGGATAAAAGGCTGGTGCCAGAAAGATTTATATGCCTCAGGAAGGTTGACGGGCCTAGGTAATGACCACAGGTCCGGAGTTCGGAATTGCCGTGACGAAGACCCACAATGAGATTCCTCCACAAAAAGGAAAGATGGTTATTTTCCAATTATATGGAAAATTACAGGTCCTTAGGTAGATGAGTACTCCTTTTGTGTAGAATTTTACGGGACTTGACTAGAATTTACTCGTTATAGAAATCGTCCAAATGACTAGATTCCGTAATAAGCACTATGAACTGGCACTGATATCCAAAAAATGACGAGTAGAAATAACGTAGATGAGGTGAAGTTTCGAACTGACGGTATCGGTGGTAATTTCTGAACTGAACTCTCCGTAAAAAAGTAGCCCTTTTATATCAAGTTTTTCATAAGGGAGACTATATGATTCCATTGGCTTGCATTGCTAAGACTATCTCTTTCTTTTTTATTATCCACAACGAGGGTTTTTGTGATTAAATTACAGAATTTAGAAAGAGCACACCACTGCGATGAAATCGCAGGTGTAAGCGAGAAACACTACAGGGGTGGTATATCTGATTATATTATAGAATTTAGAAAGAGAAAGTCTACGTGGTGAATCGTAGCTGTTAGAAAGGGACACTCATTTATGCCCTTTTAAGGTAATACTGAGTTTCTCGCTTCTAATTGTATATTTTTAGAAATACAATATGTGAACGTAGAACGATACAAAACGCAAGGGTCTTTATACATAAAAGAAAAGATGTTTGGCCACGCGACAAAGGGGCGGGAGTTTACAATTAAGTGAAAGGTATTTTAGATGCGTAACAAAAACACGGGTGTTAGTCGCAGACATTCAGCTTAGTATTGATTTAAAAAAAAAAAAGAATTCTTACAATTTTGAATATAAAAGTTACGGTGACGTGACACCTCCCCCCTTTAAAATTCGGAAATTAAAAATGAAATTGAATAATTTACGAATTCAGTTTTTGAGAAGAGTTAAGTTATTTGAGGGAAATGTCACTTACAATTTTGATTATATTATGTAAAGTTTTTAGACATCGATGTTTAAAAGACCTAAGAGAAAATACGTCATACACATAATATAGTTTCACACCTTATTCACACCAAGTTAAGATACAAGTTTATATATATTGAAAAATACATACGAATATTATTGTTAATGATTTCAAAGATTTTCACACATATCCCGTACTATCATTTTTGAGTTAATAGTCATACATGATTTAAAAATGATTTAATCATAGTGATTGGGATCTTATGTATAGAAGCATATACAAATTTGAAATACTTTCGTAAAAGCTTACAGAATTAGTAGAAGTAGTATATAAAAAGGAATTTTAATTATATTTATAAAGACACTCATACCATGTATTATAGAAGATTTTAAGGATGTATTATTATTATTTGCTCTTTACACATTGGTTAATTTAGAATAAGATATAAGTTTTCAATACATAGTGCATACGGATAGATTACATTCTGATGATGACAGAGTTCAATTATTTTTTTTTCATACATAATTTATACTTTTGAAATGTTATATAATTCTGTTAAAGATTTTCATCCACATATATTTACGAAAAGGAGGAAGGCAGAGAAAAAAAATTTCTAACATTTTCCTTTCTGAACGCAGGTATAATTTTTGAAACAGATTTACATAAGCTTATACATCCCTCCCTCCTTTAAGAGAAAAACGAGAAGCATTCGAAGTTTTGACATGAATAGAATTTACAACATTGATTTAAAGAATTTTGGCTTTAATATTAATTAATTGGATAATTTTCGTTCTTTTTTTTTTTTTTTTTAAATTGTAACAATTTCTTGCTATATGATATTTTTCGAAACATTTCTTACAAGATAAGCTGCATTTGTTTAATTAAAATTTTCCTTTTTTACTCTAAGTGTCGATACATTATAATCATATTATTTACACACTCATTGTGACATTAGTTACAATCTTACCTTTTATCTTTATCATTAGAATTTTTTTTTCAATTTTTGATTTCAATATAAACATTTCATGTTTTAAATGACATATTACTATTTCTTAAATCCTCGATTCCGGTAATCGATATATTGGTTTAGAAATCTAAATTCGATTGATAAATTCTTCATAACACGAATTGGAAAATTTATTTATTTTTACCATGCCCGTTCATATTACCTAAAGGAATATAAGATTCTATCAGGTAACGTTGTTCTCATTTTCAAGACTACATGCTTCTCTTCTTTTTTTAAAATAAATAATTTTTGAAATCGATGACATTTTTCAATTAGGCTTATAGTTTATGAGATATTTACGATTTTATCTGGCATTTTTTATATAAATTTTCGAATATTTTGAATTTGGAAGAAAAAAAAAATTTCAATCTCGATTTACATGTTTTAGATCTCAAAATTTCGTGTCACATTGTGGTAATCAAATTTCGGTATTGATACGAACTTCAAGAAAATGAAGTTTAAAAATTTTTAAAATTGATTTTTTTTTTATTTTTGAATATTTGAGTTTGGGAAAAAAAAATTATTAATATACAAATTTCTTATAAGAAATATTTAAAAGAAAAATAAGTAAATTTTATAATAATAAAATATATCCTGGAAGAAAAATAGCAAATATTAATATAATGAATGTCCATAATATATTTTAATCACCTGAAACAGAAATATCTCTATATTATTATCAATTATTTAATGTCTCTTTTTATTATATCTAAAAATTAAAATGTATGCTTAAGAAAATACTCCAGTTGTTCAATATAAAATTCGAGTCATCTGTATTTATTACAGATAATTATATATATTTTTTTATAATATTTATTTATTTTGTTGCTGACAATGCCTTTTTTTATTCGTATTTTAATGCTTTCGAATATGCAAAAACTGGATTATTTACTTTAATAAAAAGTTAATTGTATTAATGGAGAATTATAATTATAAGAGCAAACAATAATGTTGCAAAAGCAAATTGTTTTGTTTATGTGTATTTAGTGAATATATTGAAGGATGTGTATTAAGATTTGAATTAATTCACTATTCTTGTTATATTTTATTTAAATGTTTAAATTAATTTTAGTTAGCATGATGAATATGAGATAAGCGAAGTCTGTTAATGTGTACAATTTTTGGTGATTTATTTATTTTAATTTTTATGTTTCCTTTACTCAATATTTCTAACACTTCATGTGGTCCTGTATATTGATTACCTAATTTTTTCGGTTTGGGACCTTGTAATAAAAATACACTATCTCCGATTTTAAAATTTTGAGGGTTAGCTTTGCGATCATAGTAAGTTTTTGATTTTTCTTTAGATTCAATTAAATTTTTCTGCGCGAGAGATTGAATATCATGTAATTTTGTAACTAATTTTACTAAATAGTCATCATAGGTCTCGAGTTTTTCTTCTTCAAAAAGTGGTAAACTTGAAGGTAATCTTGGTAATCTACCGAAAACTAACTCATAGGGTGTACATTTAGTACCTTCGTGGACGCTTGTATTATAAGAAAACATAGCTAATTCTAATAAATCATCCCATTGAGTATTTTTATTGATGAATTGTTTAAGATATTCTGCTAATACATGATGCGATCTTTCTAATGAACCATTTGATTGAGGGTGAAAAGAAGTAGTTTTAAATTGTCGAATACGAAATCGTTTTGCTAATCGCTTCATAAGATTGCTCAAAAAATTTGTACCTTGGTCTGTTAAAACGCCTTTTGGAGAGCCAAAAGTACAAATGAATTTCTTTACAAAAGCATCTGCAATTGTACTAGCCTGCTGATTTGGTAAAGGTACTGCTACAGAATATTTTGTTAAGCAGTCTTGTAT